CAACCTGCGACTGTTTGGGAGAGTCAAGCCCTGCGGGGTTTTTTCCAGATAGTCTTCAACATTAGAATTTCCAATGTGTGACATCTTAGACGTTGTCTAACTGATGGTTACTGGGACATATTTACTTCAACCATTGCATATACGGATTTTAATCAACATTGGACGATCGTAACGAAACTGCAAACATTCAGAAAATCGGATGAGAAGAAAATGATCGGATTTTTTTTTATAGACGTTGCGGTGATATGTGAATGAGTTAAATTGAGGAGATTTATTACTTCACATCCGTAGGAATTCCTGCTCTCGTGGTATGGTTAACTCTAAAATTGTAAACCTCTGGTGTGGGGTGTATCTGAGGCGTGTGCTCATCTAGAAAGCACGTGTAAACGTGTTCTGAAACCCGATTGTTTTCTAACCAGGGTTGCTCCCTGGACGTGTTGAGTCCTGTGTACGCGCCTGTAATTGTTGGGAAGGGCAGCGAGCATCTCTGAATATCGATCTGTTCCCATAGTGTTTTCATATTGTGTGCGTTTAATACAACAGCCCTAGTATTGTTCAGAGGTAAAAACTTTTCAATTCAAGTGGAATGAGACTTACGCAAGATGAACAATACATGGATCCCGTATCTGTGAATTCGCATAGAATTAAGTAAAAATCTCTTTAAACTTGAGCGCTTCGCTCGCAGTTTCGCTACTCCTATTTCTGAAAAAGGATGCACTGCTGATCGGTCTCAACAGTGGTCCATACAGGCTCTTGGTGTTTTTTATTTATTCCTAACAGTGTATTTCTGAGTTGTAAATTTCACTCTGGTTCGTCCTGAGAAGTGCCTCAAAAATGGACAATATCGGGCAACGTCAATACGGGTCCCCAGTGATATTTGACAAACTGTTAGATTTTACCTCCGTTCACATCAGCAACAGCTTGGCAAATTTTCTGTTTATCGAAAATGTGGGTTGGTATTTTTCTGACCGATCTTACTACACTCGTTGGTTGAGTTTTCCCTCCCGCCTCGTCCCCTCAATCTGATGTCATGAGGACGATGAGACATCGTCTTTCTTGTTGATCCTTTGTTTCCCGTCTATTGTCCGATCGCTTCTGGTGGTGGTGGCCGCAGAACGTGCTTCTGTGTGTTTCGTTCACATTACAGCCTTGTGTGTGGGGCGCGCGCGTGCAAACTTTGTCCGTTATCGCAGCTCTCTCCGTACGGGCTGCTGCCAGGTTGGTGGTGGTATGTAACTCACTCTTCCGGTCTTGTGGCCGCCGACCTCGAATGACCTGAATCGGTCATTCTCCCTCGTTCGCACACTGTGTGGCCGTATGGTTCTTTGTGTCGGACGTCTCTCGCGCGATCCGGGAAACCCGAAGATGGGGTTGGAGTGTTCGGTGCCCCTCAGTTCTGTGCCCTTGTTTGTTTGTTTCCCATCTTGGCTGCCGCCGAAACCCGGTTGCTTTTTGGTCTCGACCGGGCAATCGCTCGCATCCGGCGTTAATGGAACAGTAAAGCGAGCGCGCGCGCCAGAGAGAGGTGGACAGACGCACAGGTCGTTGATCCGATCTGTGACCTGAACATAGCCTCATTCTGCCGGTTGTTTCTCTCTCTCTATTTGTCTGCACGTACAGCGTGCATTAGCGTACAGATGCACACACACACAGCACCTGTGTCCCGGTTGCATTTGGGTTACTTTTGCACCTTAGCTCCGTCTGCCGTAGTGTCCACTTTTGAGGACAAATCTTGCATCCCACCCCATATGTTGTCGTCNGGTGGTGATGACGTTGAGGTGACATTGAAAGGACAAAGAACTCCTCCTATCACATCAGTGACCACGTGTGCGATACTGCTTTGTTAGGCCCTACACCCTGGCTTTGTCCCGTCTGTTCGCATCAGATTGGTGATTGGTCAGGTGACGCGTTGGGCGAGCTGGTTGAGATAGGAGAAAGAGACAGAGACAGACAGAGAGAGAGAGAGAGAGAGGACGCATACCACGAATGACTGGGTGATTCGTACAGACGGATTGCTTACCCGTGGCACGTGTCCTTCTCGATGTGTTCAAATGTTCTGGTTTGTGGGCGCACACAGTTGCACTACGTATTCTCTTGTCTGCAGCTGGAACAGATATGAGTGCGCGTTTTCGAACGATTTGAACGAGTTTGTGAAGGCATGTTGATAGCGTATGTGTGTGTGACCATTGTCTTGCGGGCGAACCAAAGAAGCTCCCCAAACCAGATCGGTCATAAGCGGATGGTTTTGAACGACTCGGATGCGGGAAAAACGAACGAGGTACCAGACTGGAGTCGTATTCATTTGACTTTGTGAATATTTCGCCTGTTGTGTTGTATGGCAGCCGTTTGCCTGGCCGCTTCCCCCTTCCTGAGAATTGTATCTTTGCGTATTCAATAAAAGGAAGTAAAATGTAAATTTGAAACGAAATGAATTACTTATCTCGTTCTACGCGACGTCAATTGTTCTTCATGAATTGTTCACCAAGGGCGAAATTTAGACAGGTTGTATAAGTTGCATTCCGGTTACCAGAATATAAGCTTAGTAATAGTAATAATGCAGGATGCTTGAAATAGTGTGGATACACAATTGGACTGTGTTTTACCATAGAGATTCGCATTCTTTTCCCGTCCCTTATACTTATACTTACACAATCTCACTTACCTTGAACGCATCGTGAATTAGGCAGAGTGACCAGTGAAGTTCTCTTCAGCGTATTACGTACGATGATGATGATGATGATTATGCCTGGTAAATGTAAAGTTATACTTTGGTGTTATAAAAGTTATGCAATACACCCGAATTGATTTTCGCGAACCAATGAAAATCGTTTTCGTACAGTCTGCATAGGACGATTATAATATATCTTCACTCATTCACAATGATGTACAAGATCAAATATAAATGTCCCACTAGGTATGCATGCGATTATGGACGTACACTGAGCCACTGTATCACATATGTGCTCACAATTGTTCACTTATTGTTACGTACAAAACACAATGTATGTTGCAACGATCGCACCTCATCAATATCTGCGCACATTTCCTGACCCAATGAATCTGGCCTTTGATTAAACGAATCCTATCATTGCCGCTCGAATTACGTTGTGTTTCCAGTCTCTTCACTCTTCATCAAACCTTGTTCCTCGTGATAATCTAAGTAATCTTTCGTCACACGTCTCCCCCTGGATTTCGTTTCAGTTTACAGACAATCATTTTTCGTGGCTTAAACCTCGTCTGACCGCGTCT